AATGTTCTCTATAACATCATGATCATGTCCCTCATGCTGGCGTTTAAGGAGGGACTGTGCGTACATTGATTGGTCAGCTTTGGGTTTGCAGCAGTTGACAGTAATGCTTTTCGGTAAGGTTTATATTACTCTCTGGACCTACACGTTTTATCCTTCTGCCCTTTGCTTTGGGTTGTGTAGATTTGTAGACAAACTGTAGATTGAGCCCTAGTCACAGTTTAGCGTCTAGATATGTAGTAACTTGCATTTTAGAAGCGTAGAAGCATGTGATCTGTGCTTGAGGTCTGTCCCGATGGTTTTGATAAATTAAAATGTAATATAAAATAGTAGGCATATACAACCCTTGTAGTTTTAGTGGCTGTATAGACGTCACTTAAAGTCAACATGAAATGGTATTCAGAGCATGTTTTATTACTGAGGTAAATGTACTTTGTCTTCACTTATGTTTGTTCTTTTTTCACTTTAACTATCTGTCATATGGAGACCACACCCATCTAGTGTTGATTGGTGGAGATGGTAACATGATATGGTTGTCAGCTGCTGCTAATTACAAATAAATAATAATAATGATAAAGTCAAGAAGTTTAATTATGGATCATTTTTTAATAATTTTGCCACTGTGCATTTATTTTCTTTTATTTGCTTTGATTTTGTGGTATTTTAGTTTTTTTATTGTAATGTATTTTATTATTTATTTTTTATTATATATTTATCTAATTTTATTTTATTAATATTATTATTCTATTCTATTTATTATTTCATCATTATTATTATTATTCTATTCAAATTATTGTATGGATTAATTGTAATAAATTTAAATGTAATACAGTTTCAAGAATGATAATAATAAAATTGAAAAGAGAGTTTGAATTTAATTTATTTGTCAGTGAACAATTTTTATTGTAGTTTAGTTTTTTTGTTTATTTTATATATATATATATATATATATATATGTATATATAAGGGTTGTCACGACGCTGGAATTCAATACCAGTCGGTACTGAAATTTAAAAAATGTCCTTTTGTCCTTTCCTGCAAACATTTAAGTGCTGTGAAGCACGTTCTTAGACGGCTCTTATTCACCATTGTGTTCATGTGCTCAACTTAAATGACTGTGATTGGCCATGAAGGTCATCAGTCACCGAACTCACCGCTGTTTACTGTGTGTAATCACAGATACAGTTTACACTGGAGCGTTTTAAAGTCTCAGTTCATCAGCGGATCGCTCATATGTCAGCTTATAGACAAACCAGCTGATCAACGTGTCTTTGAAACGCTCCAGTGTCCCTGTATCTGCGGTTACACACAGTAAACAGCGGTCAGTTTGATGAACTGATGACCTTCATGGCAATCACAGTCCTTCTGCTGAGCACATGAACACAATGGCAGATCAGCGCTGTTTAAGATCGTGCTCGACAGTGCATAAATGTTTGTGGAAAATGGACATTTAAAAAATTTCAGTACCTATTGGTATCAAATTGCAGTATTGTGACAACACTATACTTAGATTTAAAAATATATTTTGTTTAGTTCAGGGGTGCCCAAAACTTTTTCTTACGAAAGGCCAAAGAACCAAACTTTTTTTATTTATTTTTTTGCTTTATTAGGTTCATTTTAGGTCACACAATAAAATATACATTATATATATATATATATATATATATATATATATATATATATATATATATATATATATATATATATAAATTATCAGGAAAACATAATTATCTAAACAAGTATAAAAATAATAAGGTACAATACCACAAATATACACAAAAATATACTCACATAAGGTAACATACAAATTAGGATAATAAAAAACAAACAAAAGAATAAATAAATAAATTATACAAAGAAAAAAAGGCTATTGAGATATAAGTGTCTCCTTAAAATTTGTTTTATAAAAGGGCTCCAGACTGTCTAGAGCTGTTCTGGCTTTTGTTTTATTGCAAACCAAATCTTTTCCATTCTAAGAGCATGTAAAAAAAAAAAAAAAATCAAACACCCATTGCCGATAAGAAAAGAGAGCTGCTGACTTCCATTTCATAAGAATTAGTCGTCTAGCCAGTAGAAAAAAATAAATAAAAAAATAAAAAATTGACTGAGGGTGGTTGGCCAAAGGTAAATTACACCATCATTACATTAAAGTTGCCATAAGTGATTTTCTTATTGATTTAATATTTAAAATTGACTAGAAAACATTGCCTTATAGTATCTAATACATACATACATATGTATGTGTGTGTGTGTGTGTATATACACACACACACACACACACACAACATTTAATTGAAACATTTAATTTCAGTTAGCTTTTTTGTAGTTTAGCAATAAAACAAAGAAAAAAGGTTATGTTAAATTAAAATTACGATCTCTGTTAAAGGCGCTCAGCCCAAATTCCAGCATCATTCTCTTCTCAGATGGGATGGTGGGCCAAATCAAAGGTTGCCATGGGTCAACCTTTGTCCACTGGCCCTAGTTTGGGCATCTCTGGTTTATATTTAGTTTTTATATCTCAACAAACAAACAAACAAACAAAACTAAAAAGTCAATTATTTCCTAATTAAAATTTCTTAATTTTTATTGGCGTATTTTGCTTGTCTCCCATGTTTGTTGAATTTTATTCTGTTTGGTTTAAATACATTATTTTTTATATTTATTATTTATCGCTATCATTTTTAATCAGCTCGTTAGATCCCCTAAAATGTCCTCAATAAATATTACTTTTAACTTTAAAGTGTCACATTATGGAAGTAAAATATGTTGTGAATGCGTTTCATGTCAGGTAGGACAATATAGTGATATTTTAATCAATGTCTTGTTTTGTACCGTCTTGACATGTTTCTGATTGGCCTCTTGTTTCTCCCTCAGCTTGTGGGTCTCCTGTTGATTGTTGTAGCAGCATGGGGCAAAGGCTTTGGCATCGTCTCCAGCATTCACATCATCGGCGGCGTAATTGCCGTAGGCTTCTTTCTGCAACTGATCGCCATTGTGGGGCTCATAGGAGCGGTCCACCATCACCAAGTCATGCTTTTCTTTGTATCCTTTAGCAGCCACTATATTGTAAAACTGAACGGTGTAGTTAATGGAATGAAATATTAATGAAACTGCTTTGTACTTAATAGAAAAAAATTATGTCAACAAAATTTGTAGTTATATATAGTATAGTATAGTATAGTATAGTTATACATAATAAAGTTTTGAGAAAATTTGATGTATTTGCAGTCTACATAAATTAGTTTGTTTAATAGTTCAATTAAACTGTTCATTGGTTTCCACTTTTCCACAAATTTTGATACCTAACACACCTAAACACCATTTTTTAGCACCACTTCGAGGTTACAAGCGAGCCATACTGTCACCAAACGCAAAACAATTTGTACACACTGCAGATCAGCGATTGGTCAAACAGAATCGTCACTACCAGCGTCATTATATTTGTGTTGCATGACACCAAACCCACTATATTTTAGGGCCTATACTCACACTATGCCATCCGTACCGTGCCCAGGCCCGTTTCCCAGATCGTTTGAGAAGTGTGTGTGCGCTGAATCGGGCTCAGGCACGGTTCACTTGGCCGGCCCTGGCCCGGTTGGAAGAGGTGGGCCTGAGCGCGGTTCACTTGGGCTTTGGCGCGGTACGTTTGTAGTGTGAGTGCAAAACGCACCAAAGCCCCAAACTGAGACATGACTTTAAGGGACTGTCTCATATGGATTTATTAATCATTCTTACTGTTCAGTGAACGCAAACTGCCGTAGTTTACAGCTGCACACCTTCAGCAAACATCCTCATTCCTGCAGCACGAGGGCTTTATGATTGTTTATGAACGCCAAAAGTGGCGGATCTGTTCGGCGAAATATCTGACTGCGTGTCACCGCATGCCTAAGGACTTTTTGGCGAAATATTTGACTACATGTCATAACTAAAGGAATCTCCACTGTGCTGCCGAGTGAGAGCGCTTCTCACTGATCAGCGCAGCAGCGATGACTTAAGCGTGCCGAGGCCCGATTGTGGTGTGAGTGCGGGCCGTCGGGGGAGACGGGAGGGGGGACAAGCGTGCTTTGGCCCGGTTCGATGCAACTGTACCTAGTGTGAGTACGGCTTTAAATGGTCATCACCAGCAGCAGCTGGATGGGACAACCTGGAATGAACGGTTATATCTATGGAGATAATCCAAAGTCCCTTTAAGGCAAGTCATTTCTTTCGGCAGCCATCTTTGAAATGCTCTGGCATTCTGTCTCGAGTGGGAAACATCAAATCCTCCAAATCTCTTTGCCAAGCTTATGATGTCATGTTACATAATTGCAATCACCAATAAAATTAAGCAACAACTCTTTCATACGTTTCGTTTCGAAACATTTGAATCACACAAAATCGTGCATGTGCACTCGGAAGGAGCGAGATCACGACACCAACCTCACTATTTTAGATTGTTGCTTCGTCAGATTGCGCTGGTCTTCTGAAGTACTTCACAACTTGGTCTTGATGGTGAATCTCCTCCAGAAATGACAGTGACTCTTTGTTTACTAGTTTGTGAGCAATTGAGTAGTTGTTGTCGTGTGATGTGAGTTTGACAGGACAGACTGTACCTCGCATTCGTTTCATACAGATTACAAAACTAAAAACGTTTGTTTTCAAGTGAAGTAGGTCCATATAAAAGTACAGATTTCAAGCTATTTCAATCTTATGTTTGTAAAGCAAGTATTTACTGAGATTCCAGTGTGTTTGTTGACCACAAAACCTGTTGTAAAAGCACACATCTGGGGCCTGTTTCAGAAAGGAGGTTAACTGAAAACTCAGAGTATTTTAACCCTGAAATGAGAGACACTCTCGGTTTTCCGTTTCAAAATGGCAGGTTTGTTAAACTCGAGAAAGCAGGGTAAGTCAAGCCTGTTTCTGAAAGAAAGGTAACTTTAACTCAGAGTCAGTTACTGTGGTAACTTACTCTGTGAATCTAACCTGGTCAGAAGCAGGTTTTATTCTCTAAACTCGGAGTTTCTGTTGGTCTCCTCCCCTTTTTTAAAGATGAAGCGGTATTTCTCGCCTTAGTCTTATGTTTCCACCCACCTATTTTAATGCTCATTTTGGATACGTGCATAAAAACGATTGATAGAAACGTCATGATGCACATAACTTTTTAAAATATGCATAAAAAACGCGCATAACTGAGTAGGTTAAACTTTTATTCGATAGAAAATGTGCGCATAAACTATGATGGAAACACTTTTACTGAACAAATTACAGTATGTACATTAAAAAAAAAGATCATGATCATATGATAATGAAAATGTGTGTAAATGGACAAACCAGCAGGCTGAGCACACTGTAACACGTCTTAAATATTGTTTTAGTCATTCTAAAATGCCGTAACTGTTTCAGTATTAGTGTATATTATTAATTACCTCCGAATGTCTGGTGCGTGTCAAGAGTCTCCGCGTCTCATGGCTTCAGACGCCCCCACGTGTTCATTGTGTTTCAGCATTGTCTTCTGACATCGAGGCGCAAGTACATTAATTAGGCTAAATAAAGAATTAATTGACGCAGCTTCTTCTACCACAGTAAATTCTGTTTTTACTGTTGATATTTGGTGCCAGTTTAATCAGGAAGTGACGATTTTTTTCTCTTTGACTCGTTGGATGGAATTTTATTCGCATCTTTTATGCAATATTCCAGTTTTGCATATAAATTTATGTAATATATTTGGATGGAGACATAGCTATTGCCTACATTTTAGTCACACACAGAAGAACTGTACTAGATGGCTTATCTTTTTTTAATAAATAATTAAATTAAATTCACCTTCGACATGCACTGTAACTAGATTAATGGGATTATTATTCTTTCTAAAAATTATTTTTAGTACTGCTTACCTTCTAAATGTTATATTAACCTCTATCACTTAATCATTAAAAAAGGCAGACACACAAGTGCACTGTTAAATCATTTAAAACTAATAAATGTACAAAAAAGTTTAGAAAAAAAATATAAACTTCACAAATTACATTACTTATTTTATTATACTTAAATATTTAAATACCTAAAAAGTGAAATTAGGCATTAACTTGAGCAGCTGTTTTCCCACGCTAACTGTCTCTTCTTCACTGATGGTTGCTTCTTTTCAAATATATACGCTCATATTTGCTATAACTTTGCATGAGAACATCAAGTTCAGCTGGAGAAAGAAATGGTGATCTCTTTTATAAGATATTGCCATAGTCACTCGTAATGTCTGCGCTCCATTGATAATGCCTTTTTAAAGTCACGGTGTGCGCGCTTAACTCTGAGTTGGTCTACTCGAAGTTGATTGACCCAACTCAGATCAGCTGTTCTGAAACCGAAAACTCTGAGTTTTTAATCTCTCGGTAAATCAACTCAGAGTTCAAGTTTAAACTCTGAGTTGTTTGAACCTCCTTACTGAAACAGGCCCCTGGTCTGAGCTTCTCCCCGGAGAAACCTGTCTATAGTGATCAATGATTTGCACCTGTACTAGTAGGCAGGGCTTTATTCGCTATATCGACCGTTAGACTTTTCCCCATTCAAAACTACATGAGTGATACATCTTGTGCATTTTATAATCTTTGGATAATTACACCCACTTTAAGCAGTACTAAACAGCAGTGGAAAGGCAAATCGAGCTAAACTGAACCGTAAAAGTTGCTTTATTTTACTTAAATGTTTTGAGTAGGGCTGCACAATGTATTGTTCAGCATTGATGTCGCAATGTGCGAGTCTGCAATAGTCACAGGATCCCCAGTGTTCAGAACATATGACTAGTGGGGTCATCACAAAGTTTGTTCCTAAAGTTCAATTCAATTCTAGATTCTTTGTGTAGCCCTTTTCAGAATAAGTTTCAATGCAAATCAGCTTTTACGAAAGAGTGAAAGATTTGGATGTGTTTTTAAAACCTGTTAAGATTTCAAGCTATAACCTAAGCTTGTAACCAAGAGTTTAAAAAAAAAATGATATAGTTTGAAGCTTTAACAAAGATGAATTGTATTTTATTATTTATACAGTGAAGACTACACAGTCATTTTACAAGTGATTATTGAATTTCTGTATCTTAACAGAGCTAGAATCCACAGAAAATCATAAAACATAGTTAAATTCATTTGTATTTGATGTTTTATGCAAATGCACTGCCCTACAAAATAATCCCAATCAATCTAAAATGATTAATTCTTTCTAAATAGGGTTGTAAGACATCTTGTGGATTTACATTCATATCACAATATACATCACAGAAACAAAATATTGCTATGTAATTTTTCCAATATCGTGCAGCCCTAAGCTTTGAGTAATCTGAACTTCTGCGGTTTTACAGTTCAGTCTTTTTACAGTTTGATTACCAAATAATGGTTTTCTGATGCCATTTTAACTGTTTTCCCATCTGAGGATTGTAAATCCTTGACGGCAAATGCTTCTGTTCAGAAAATATGACTAGTGGGGTCATCACAAAGTTTGTTCCTTAAATTTAATTGAATTCTAGATCAGTTGTGTGGCCCTTTTCAGAATAATTATCTTTCCAAATCAGTTTTACAAAAGAGTGAAAGATTTTGATGTGTTTTTAAAACCTTTTAAGATTTCAAGCGCATTTAAACCAAGAGATTATATGTTTAAAGCTTTAACCAAGATTAATTTTATTTAATTGATTATACAGTGAAGACTACACAGTCATTTTACATATGATTATTGAATTTCTGTACCTCAACACAGTTAAAATCCACAGAAAACCATGAAACATAGTTAAATTAATTTGTATTTAACATTTTACGCAAATGCGCTGCCCTACAAAATAATCCTAATCAAGCTAAAATGATTAATTCTTTCTTAATAGGGTTGTGGAACATCTTGTAGAATTATATTCATATCACAATATACATCACAGAGAAACAAAATTTTGCTATGTAATTTTTTTTTCCAATTTCATGCAGCTTTGAGTAATCAGAACTTCCCAGGTTTTACAGTTCAGTTTTCTTACAGTTTGATTACCATATAATGGTGTTCTGATGCCATTTTAACAGTTTTCCCATCTGAGGTTTGTAAATCCTTGACCGCGAATGCTTCTGCACAGTACATGGTCATTCTCTTCGTAGTCTTCCTCTTCCAGTTTGGAGTTTCCTGTTCTTGTCTGGCCATGAATCAGGGTCAGCAGGTAGGACTTGTTAACTTTCTAACACAGTTGTTGTTGCATTTTTTTTTCTTTTTAGAAAGTTTAATTCTCTGTCATGTCTCGTTGCCAAAACAGGAGAAGCTGCTGGAATCATCCTGGAAAATAATGAGTAACGACACAAGAATAAGCCTTGAGAAAAAGCTGGACTGCTGTGGCCTTTTCAACAGCACCAACCTCCAGGCAGACATTATGTCTGATCTACACTTGTGTACATCTGTAAGAATCCCTCATGTGTTTGTGTTTTCTTTTATTGTATCTTTTTGACATGTTAGTTGACAGAGGAACAGAATTGGGAACAAAAGGAGGGACATGAAGAGCATGAGTCACCAAAATCTGATCTGTTTTATTTTACATAACATTCTGGCCAAAAACACTTACTTAAAGGAAACTCCACTTTTTCTTTCTTTTTTTTTTTTTTCTTTTTTTAAAGAAATAAAAAGTCCACATTTTGCAAGTCCACTAGAATTAAACAGTTTAGTTTTACCATTTAAGAATCCATTCAGCTGATCTCTGGGATTGGCTGGAGCACGTTTAGCTCAGCTTAGCATAAATCATTGAATCAAATTAGACTATTAACATCTCACTCAAAAATAAATCATAAAAAAATGGCGTTTTTTCCCCAGATCATATTAAAAGCAGACTCAGCAGGCGCAATGATATTATGCAGCATTGTTACCTGGCTGTGGGTTATTTTCAGGTTCTAGCATGTTCTATTATTTATAGGTTGTCTTCACATGATGTCATCGATGACGCTCAAATTCAGATGGAGGGCAGGAAGCGATTCTTCTTCATTGGAATCGCTATCAGAACATCAAAATGCTTATGTTTTGTGTTGCTTATAAATGTTTAAATTGCCTAAAATGAGAAATGCCGAGCAGCTTTTACAGAGTTCTAAAACCTTTTACTCAAAAATGGGGAAAAGTTCAAGAAACTGGCTGAAAAACAGGAAAATGCGGCATGTAATCAACATTTTTAAATGCGTCCATGTGTACAAACTTTTTTTGAATGCGATAATTAGTTTGGTAGCACTAAAGTTTATATACAGGCCTAGCTGTGTGTATTATGTGTTATAAAAATCAGATACAAACACCACCACACGGATACAAAATCCAGAAGAACATAAATTGCGTACCCTGCCATGTAATTGTTGCAATGAAATCACTGTCTTGTTTTGCAATAATCCATGTCTTCACTGGCATTTTGGCAGAATAGACAATCGGAAGGTTAACATCGAGATGCACACCAGCAGCGAAAGTTTGTTGATGGTTAGTAATCAAACAAACAAAAAAGAAACGCTTCACAATATAAGGATCGACTTATGCCCAACATATGTGGATATTTTCTATTCCTATCTTCTTTGAAATATGGTAAAAATCGCAAAAATATGAACGTTCCTCTGTATCTCCCATTCAGTTTTTTTTTTAATTCAGAATGAGAGGATCGGTTCTAACCATATTGGCATGAAAATAGCAACTTTTCATTATCTGTCTGTCCTTGTCTGTACACGATGCAACTACAAAAGAGTCCACCTTTAAATAAGAAAATTATTTGAAGTCCTTGAGTGAGATGCTAATGGTCTAATCCGATATAATTATCTATGCTAAGCTAAATCTGCTACTGCAGACCCAGAGATCGGCTAAATGGGTAAAAAATAAATAGTAAAACTAAATCGTTTAACTCTAGTGAAGTTGTAAAAGGAGCCTAAATGCAGTGTTCCCTTAAAGCAATAGTTTGTTGCTATAAATTTTGTCATCCTTGAACATTTTTGTATATTTATTAGAACAAATTTATAATTTATGTTTTACTGAAATTGATTCATAACTGCTAGGGATGCACAATATATTGGAGGCTATATCCTTATCAGTCTGATATCAAAGTTAGGCCGATATCTTTAAGCCGATAGATTACATAATTGCCTGCCTCGCGCATGCTTGGGTCGAACTTGTTCTTACTTGTCCAGTGCAGCTTACCTCACATTGTTCTTTTCTTCAAAGTCCCTCCTTTCTTTGTGTGGTAATGCTTTGCGTTAATAACTCTGTAAATAACTTGGTTAAGCTGGTTTCAGTTCCTAGTTATTTCATTTTCATTTTATTTAAAATATAATTATTTAACTGGTTTGTTAATTAAATCCCATTTTGTTATTTAACCTGTTATTTTTATGCTACAGTCAAGTTGCATGTTATTTGCTGTGCGAATAAAAGGTAATCATTTATTTTTGGCATGCTGATTTATGTAGAATCATGACTACAGGTCTTTATGATCACCTTGCAATTTTGAAATTATTGCTTTTTTGCTTGGATTAGGGTACTCAGTTCATAAGATCACTTTAAACTTTTCAAACGTTGTTCACTGTATAAAAATATAACATTTTGAAATAATGATATTCACTGGCTATAATATATTGGTTATCGACCTCCAAACCTTAAGAGTTATCGGTTATCGATATCGGCTAAGAAATCAATATCGGTGCATCCCTAATTACTACGATTCATAGAATGCAAGTCTGCAGTTTCCTTTACTTTGAGAGTCAAAAACACAAATACAGGATGACTTAAAATAATAACTCTGGCTCCTGAGAATAAATCAAGATTTTTAATAGAAAAACGATGGGTCTTTCCAGTACCCTGAACATTATGTAAAACACTATTACCTTTTAGACAGGCAGAAATTGACAGACAAGTGAAGTAACTTTATACATTTCATTTTGCTCTGTTTGATGCTGAGCTGCAGCCTGAAATGGTGGATGTTGAGTTAATCAAATGTGAGAAATAAGAGATATGCTTTCATTTTCTGCAGCCATGTACACAAAAAAAAGAATGCGTCACCTGCGGTCTGAAGATGCTCCAGCATTCATCAGAAGCTCTGAAGATCCTGGGAGGAGTTGGTCTGTTTTTCAGCTTTACAGAGGTTAGTTGTCGCATTTTGTCTGGAATCTGGATGCAAACAAATAGAAGGGCAACAGGTCTCTACTTTTTAAGATGTTTTATATTGAAAACAATTGTTATTGGTCATAAATACAGGTGAGAGATTTCTGAATGAAGGGTGCATTTCTTGATCTTAAAATAATTGAAGTAAACACGCACATATCTACTATATCTGATTAATTACAGAACATCAACATTGAAAGACTGAAATTAAAACACACCTTGCCTAAAACCAAGTCACTTTTTTTTCTTATAAAAAAGTAAAAATAAACAACTTTTACTAATTTAACTAAACTAATTGTTGTCAATGTTTTAAGTATTAAAAGTAAAAAAATATGCAGTATCTCTTCTAAATAAAATAACTCTTATGTATCCTGTAAATAAGGTTTTATTGTAAATAATAATTTGAATCTCATAGAAAATATGCCATTCCAAGGCATCTCTGGCGCAGCTTCCAATCATCGTCAGTGTAGTGCAAAGGTTCAAAAATGGGATCGTCCAACTTGACCAGAGATCAGATGTGGCTTCAAAGTGGCCGCAGAAGTTTAAATCAACCTTTAACAAAGTGGGGTCACATGACTCCACACGGGGTAGGGAAAGTCATTGAAAATATCGTCCTGGAAAACTTAGATCAATTATAGGTTCTGAATGCTGATTTTGATTATTTTTCGATTAATCACCCAGCTCTATAAATAATTTCTAATAATATATGTCAAATCTTGCAAAAAGTACCCTTTTCACCATTTGGAAGATATAAGCGCAATAAAGCATTGCCTGAAGTGTCAAGACATTTGTCCTGCCTATTACATAGACTAATTTCACTCGGCCGCCATTTTAAACAGCAAAATCGAGACTGCCGTGGGAAGAAACCCGGAAGTATCGCCTGAGTCACACAGAAATGTTGTACCTAGCTGTATATCTTATCAGCGAAGAAAAGGTGACACCAATTTATAATTTCACTGCCTTCCGAGTGACCCGAAGGTCTGTTCTGAATAAAAAATAAATAAAAAGGGATATCAGGCCTCATTTTCAGCTAAGTTAAGGGAAATGGCAGTAGTTAGCTAACGTTTTCTTTCCCAAACACACGTTTTAGATGCCATTTATCAAGCTCAAGTTAATGAACTGATTCTTTCACTTTATTAGACTTGTCACAATACTGAATTTCGCTACTGAAATTTAAAACAAAGTCCATTTCCCATTAACATCTAAGGCACTGTTGATAGCTTTCTTCAACAAAAATACACTTATTTCATGCGGCCGGCATGTTCACGTGCTCAACGAAAATGAGTGTGATTGGCCGAGAGGGTCGTCAGTTCACTGCACTTCACTGATGTTTACAGAGTGCAAACATAGCAAGCAATTAGCTGATGAATTGACTGATCTTCACAGCTTTAAAACGCTCTAATGTCCGTGTATCTGTGTTTGCACTTGGTGAAGAGCGCTGAACCGATGACCTTCATGGCCAATCACTGTCATTTCTGTTGAGCACTTGGGAATACTATGACAAATCTGCGCTGTTTATGAACGTGCTCAACAAAGCCTCGCTTTCGTGTTTTAAAATGGCAGCCGCATGAAATAAGCGTATTACTAACCACAGGAGAGGGCAAACTATTTAGCAGGATAGCGCTCCTTCTCATACTTTAGCCTCCACATCAAAATTCCTGAAAGCAAAGAAGGTCAAGGTGCTCCAGGATTGGGCAGCCCAGTCACCAGACATAAACATTATTGAGCATGTCTGAGGAGCCAATGAAGATGAATCGAAAGAATCTTGATGAACTCTGGGAGTCCTGCAAGAACGCTTTCTTTGCCATTCCTATTGACTTTATTAATAAGTTAGAGTCAGTGCAGAGATGTATGGATGCAGTCCTCCAAGCTCATGGGAGTCATACACAATATTAACTTTTTTTTTTCCATTGCACCATGACTGTATATTCTATACTGGACAGTATTTTTGTTAAATGACAAGACTAGTCTAAGCAAAGTCAGACCTTACTGTCCTAATTAAATAACAAAAAATCAAGGCATGATCATATTTTATTTTGGTAAAATTAGCGTAATCTAGAGACCTTTGCCTTTCATATAAGCCACTTCTGATACTAAATGATCAACTAGAAGTTAAGTTATTATTTGTTGTTCCTAAAACTTAGATAGACGACAAGACTTTTGTCAGGTAGAGTATAATTGCCTAAAATAAGGGAGAAAAAAACATGAATTAGCTGCATGACATTTCACTCATTACAGCTGTTGTATGGCACTAATAAAATGTAATTTTCTCTTTTTCTCTCAGATCTTAGGAGTTTGGCTGGCCATGCGCTACAGGAACCAAAAGGACCCGAGAGCAAACCCCAGTGCTTTCCTATAGTCTCTCAGACTGTCAGTCCTAAACTATACGTTCTGTGTAGTCCAGCTATTCCAGTCCCCCTTTGCACAGGTAGAGCGGAGCGCACCAAGAGACATTCGAAGCATTCAACGCAGAGCAAATCTCCTGAAAAACACACATAAAAACAAAATAACATCAGGTACAAAACACACACACGCACCATTTTGATGATCGATCTGACCCAGTTTCCACACAAGGTCTGCCGAGGGCTAATTTAAAGCAGCAGCAGGAAGAATCATGTATGAAAGGATGCTTGTTCTGGCACTTTTCCTCCATCCTTGACTTGAGAAACTCTTCCTGTTCTGTGTATGCAACCCCCCCCAAAAAAATCTGCAATGTAAATTCATTGTGTGCATGTTCATAGCCTCAGTTTCCAGCTCACATCAGTACACATAACCAGTGCTCTGAAATGGTCCCTGTAGTTTCAGTGTAACAAGTGAAACCATATAAACTGTCAACGTTTCGGTAAAATTCTGTCATGTATCTCCCACTGGGGGATAAAAATCCTGTGTTTTGTGCGATGCTTTAATGAAGTCCGTCTCGATGAGGTGACCAGTCCAGCCTATGGGATATTAGTTTAGGAATTAGACGTAGTACATGAATATTTAAAGAAAAAGAAAACACAAACTTGTGTAACTGAGCCATGTGAATTGGAGGATTTCCCTGCCGATGGACTGCAGTCCTCCTGTTGTACATAGTCTTTGCTGTGACAGGGTTGACCGATTTACCGCTTTTTTTCCCCCAATCTTTATTTAAAGCAGTGAGATCTTACCGCCTCAGTCCGGCCTCAATGTTCTCACTGGACTTTTTAAGTTCTCGATCTCCCCTTAGTATTACTCACGGATATAGTGTTTTTAATATCTTATGCATTGTTGTGTTGAAATGATCTCAGTGTGCCATTTATTCGGTTGTCTGTCGGCTTAGTTTAAGCTACTATTTTTATTCGCAATCATGTATCGTTTGTTTACAGCTTTTCTAAACCGTACTAACAGCATCAGGTCCATGATTTTAGCACTGAGCAATATGGAAGCCTGTTTTTGCCACTTAGTAATGATCGTAATAAAAGGTAATTATGACTATGGCAGCTCTGACTTTTTTTTTCTTTCTGTTTTGATTGATAAGCTGTATTATAAATTGCAGAAAAGACAGAATTGCAAAAGAGAGGCTATACTTTTGCACTTGATGACAAAAAATTGTCACAAGTTCCTTAATTATGAGAAGAAGAAAAAATGTAGAATTGTGAAAAATAAGTCATGGACTTTAATAAAAAGCTGCAGTTCCAACTTTTTTTCCAGATTTGACACTATATTAGTTTTAATTTTTACATTTTATCCCAATTTTGAGTAAATGAAGTCAGCATGATTATAAATTACAGTTTACATTCACTGTTTTGTAAAAAAAGGTTTAAATTGCAGGAAGTAGGCATAGCAGAGCCTATAAACCTACACATTTAAGAAATACATTAGATTTTTGTTTTGTCAATTGTGAGTTATAACTGAGTACTTGGTTGTGGAAACATTATCTAAATCTAAAGAAGAGAGTTTATTGTTAGAAATAAAATCAGAATTGCAGTTGAACCTACACATGTGCATTTGCAAGTGGTTGTAATTCTGACTTTTATTTCCTCAGGTTTATGAGTAATATATATATATATATATATATATATATATATATATATATATATATATATATATATATATATATATATACAGTTTTGATTTTATATTTAAATGTCACAATTATGAGTAAATTAAAAATGCTAGAGAATCCATAAACTTGCATTTGTGAGAAATAAAGTTGCAATTCTGTCTTTCTTATAACTGTTTGTATCTCAACAATTTTAATGTATAAGATGCGTCTCTATGTTGTTGAAAAAACATTGAATTGCTTGAAATAGTCAGAATTGCATTTAAAAACGAAATTGTCAGATATAAACTTAGAATTGCTTTTAAAAGCTAGAATTGCAGAAATAACATCAGAATTGCATTGTAAAATAACAAAAAAAATGTATAAACTCAGAATTGCATTGAAAAAGTCGCAATGAAGAGATATAAACCTAAAGTTGCATTAGAAATTTCTGAATTAAAGATTAAAGAATTTGCCTTAAAGTCAAAGAGTTAAAGAATTGTTATAAAAAGTCAGAATTTAAGTTATAAAAATCATAATTGCATTGGAAAAGTCAGGAATGTAAGAGATAAACTCAGAATTGCATTTAAAAATGGATTTAAATAATAAAATCATAATTGCATTGGGAAAAACCTGAATTGTCTGATATAAACTTAGAATCGCATTAAGTCAGAATTTAATATATAAAATCGTAATTGCATTAGGAAAAACCTGAATTGTTAGATATAAACTCAGAATTGCATTGAAAAAATCTGAATTGTAAGATATGAGCTCAGAATTGCATTTAAAAAGTCAGAAATTTAGATATAAACACAGAAAAAAAGTTAGATATGTAAGCTAAATAGACAACGTACCTTTATCTATTAATTATCCTGTCCCAGAAAATAACGTGCCATTTCAGTCAAATCCTTATTATTGTGTTTTGCCAAATCACCTTTTTGTTGTTTTATGCTAATAGTGTTAAGTTGCCATTAAAGTGTGCAGTTTTTGTTGTTGCTGTAATGTTTAACATTGTTAATATTGTAGGAGCTAGATCATTTGTAATAGCTTATGTGCACGTGCATATGTTGGTTCCATATAAGTCTGATATGTTCTTGCATTCATTTGCATCCTCATATTGGCTAAAATACTCACAGTCTTAACTGCTTTAGTCGGACGGTTGAAAAGTGGGAACACTGAAGCGTCAGTACAGCTTCAATGTGTTCTGCTTTACTTGCTCATGGTGTTATGATGGATTTTGAAGAGGTGAAATCGATGTCTGCTAGAGTAGTTATTTATTGGCCACAGGACTCGACTGACTGTGAGCTGTAAGCACCATCTTCCCTGGATTTGCCTTGTATTTTTGAAAACTGACTTTTCCAATTAAATATTCTTAGATCAATACCTGTGCGGTTTTTCTCTTGATTTAATGTGATTTGTGTTTTTGTCAGCTGGTTTTGCTTCAATACACAATTTTTCTTTCATCGTCAAATAGAAGTCCCATCACCGTCCCAAACAAACCTCACTATTATAGGTGCATCTCGAATTGGAATAACTTCAAAAAGATGATCTTGTTTTGAAACTCATATTATATGCGTACATTACACTCAGACCAATATATTTGAAGTGTTTATTTGTCTTGATGACTATGGCCCCAAAATTAAATAGCTCAGAAAATTAGACTAGTACTTGAAATGTATAGTGTTTGTTATAAACGTGTCTGTGACTTTGTTATTTTGTAAAAATTCAACCTTTTCTCTCCCTCAAAACGACTTTTCACTTCTGGTCACATGGAATGCCTTTAGGGCAGAGCTCTCCTTCCTTTAGGGCGGGACTATTATATCTTATGGCTGGGCTAGGTTGGATACAGCTGCGGAAACTCAAATCAATATAGTATCATTTTTGTGACACTCCAACAATAATTAATATTTTCACATTACTGTGAGGGGTAGGTTTAGGCTTATTTTAAGCTTTAATTAAATACAGTTTAGTGGGTAATTTAATAAATAATATGAATAATACTTACTGTTTTTAACATTACTCTTATGTTTGGGTGTTGGGGTAGAGGTCGATGTTAATAAAATACAATTAGTTGGTAATTTAATAAATGACATAACCAGGTAACAGTTTAAGGGGGAGAATTTTAAGATATTTAATAAAAACAAATTAAATTCTAAGGCCTTATGATTTTTTATTTATTTTTTTACAAAATGAGTAAGATTGTTGAATAAATAAAAGCAGAGCAGAAATGAGACACGCCCGGACAGCCCTGCTCTAAAGGACTGATAGCCCCACCCAAAAACACTCATAGCCTGCCATATATGACTTATAGCCCCAACCTAAAACACTGATAACCCCGCCCAATATGACTTATAGCTCTGCCCTAAAACACTGATAGCCCCGCCCTATGTGACTGATAGCCCCACTCTAAAACACTGAAAGCCTCGTCCAATATGACTGATTCACCTGTCCTATATGACTAATAGCCTCACCCTAAAACACTGATAGCTCCGCCCTATATGATTAATAGCCCCGTCCTAAAACACTGATAGCCTTGCCCTAGAACACTTATAGGCCAGCCCTATAGGACTGATAGCCCCACCTTAAAGCAATGATAGCGTCGCCCTAAAACACTGATACCCCCTGCCTCATAGGACTGATAGCCTCACCCTAAAACACTGATAGCTCTGCCCTATATGACTGATATCCCCGCATTATATGACTGATAGCCCTGTCCTAAAACACAAATAGCCCCACCCTGAAACACAGATAGCCCTGCCGTAAAACACTGATAGTCTCGCGCCATATGACTAATAGCCCCACCCTAAAACACTGAAAGCCCCGTCCAATATGACTGATAGCTCCGCCCTATTTGAATAATAGCCTTGCCCTAAAACACTGATAGCCCCACCTTAAACCATTTATAGCCTCCCCCTATGACTCATAGCCCGCCCTAAAACACTGATAGCCCCGCCCTATAGGACTGATAGCCTCACCCTAAACACAAATAACCCCACCCTAAAACACAATTATCCCCGTCCTACATGACTCACAGCCCCGCCCATTATGACTGATTGCTCTACCCTTAAACACTGATAGCCCCACCTTATAGGACTGATAGCGTCACCCTAAAACACAATTATCCCCACCCTATATGACTGATAGCCCTGCCCTAAAACACTGAAAGCCTCACCCTAAAACACAAATAGCCCCACCCTAAAACACAATTATCCCTGCCCTATATGACTGATAGCCCCGCCAAATAAGATTTATAGCCTTGCCCTAAAACACTGATAGCCTCCCGCTAAAACACAAATAACCCCGCCCTATATGACTGATAGCCCCGCCTTAAGCACTGAGAGTCTCACCCTATATTACTGATACCCCCACCCTAAAACACTGAAAGCCCTGTCCAATATGACTGATACACCTGCCCTATATGACTGATAGCATACAACAAAAACTACTATATATATATATATATATATATATATAAGAATAAGAAGAGTATCTTTTGATTTCATGAGGACTTTAAACCTGGAATGAGTTTGCGGGTATCAAGCCTTTAGGAAAATCAAATCAGCTTCTCCATAAAGCTCAAAATCATTTGAGTTAGTACAAGTAGTCAGCAAAATATATAACTCTGTTTTTGTGTTTTTTGTATATTGAAGTGAAAAAATGTTATTTTTTGTTCCTTGAAAATAAATGTCTGAGGGTGTTTTTTTTTTTTGTGATCCCTTTCTTTTCTTTTCAACCTCAAAGTGCTTATTTTTTCCTGCAAGCAACTTGCACTGTGCTGATATATTTAGATTATGCAACTTGTGTAGGACGAGTGTGTAAAATGATTCATACTGGCTCTGAAAAAAAAAGATTCCAGTGTAAACAATGTTATCTTACTAAATGTTCCCCTGGTGAGAGATAAAACACTGTGCTGGGTTGTCTGTGAAGGTAAATGTTCTTGTTGTAATGTCTCTGGGATTTCTTTTTTTGCACTCAGCGTAATCAGCAAGCTTTGTGTGTGCTGGTTTATATTGTGTTTTTGCTTATGCAGTGCCTTTAGATTGTGTGAGTGAAGTCGTTATAAGGCGGTTTATTTTTACAAGCAAGTGTCATTATACTTTAAATTGCACTGCCCCCATGTGGAGACCATTGGAAGCAAGCAGGGGAGAAAAACAATCCAAATGCAAAACACTAAGGGATCAGAATAGCCTGGTGATTTAGGTAAACGTGTTGCTTTTAGAGGCTATTTTTCTTGCAAGGTTAAAGCTGTAGGCAATGTTTGTCAAATAAAATGTAATAGTATGTTACGCAAACGCACATTTGTTAAAGTATAAAATCCGAATACAAATAAAAATAGAAATAGTGAAATAGAAATATATGAAACCAGTAGCTTTATTAATGTGTTGGTGCTAATTGGGTAAGGGATTCATCAGAATAAACAGCAAAAGTAAGTCCAAGGCACTTGGAAAAA